CCCCGCAGGCAGCAGCAGTGGCAGCAGTGGTGCCACCGACTACCAAGAGCACCCCGCAGGCAGCAGCAGTACCACCGACCACCAAAAGCACCCCTCAGGCCGCAACAGTTCCGTCAGCTGCCAAGAGCACCCCACAAACAAGCGCTGCATTGCTGTCTTCCAAAAACCAAGCGAGTGCCCCGGCATCTGTGTCCAAGAGCAGCACTCAGGTGGGCAGCTCACTGCTTTTGGCACCCAAGAGCAGCACTCAGGCAGGCACGTCACTGCTGCTGGCCTCCAAAGGCACTGCTAAGGCAGGGTCCTCGCTCCTGGCCTCTAAGAGCAGCGCTGAGGTGGCTGCTTCATTGCTGGCTGCTCGGAGCGGTGCTCAGCCGGGGTCCTCGTTGCTGACTTCCAAGAGCAGCGCTCAGGTGGCTGCTTCGCTGCTGGCTGCTCGGAGCGGTGCTCAGCAAGGTCCCTCGTCACTGGGCTCCCGGGGTGGTGCTCAGGCAGGTGCTTCCCTCCTGGCCTCCAAGGGTGGCACACAGGCAGGTGCTCCACAGCTTGCCTCCAGGAGTGGCTCGCAGGCCGGTGAAAGCCCTGCTAAGGCTTTGTGCAAACCATTAACCAGCGAAGATGCAAAGGAAAGGCAGCCTTTCTTCAACAGACTGTACAAAGCTGTAGCCTGGAAACTCGTTGCTGTTGGAGGCTTCAGTCCAAACGTAAATCACGCAGAACTTCTAAACTCATCTATTCAGTCTGTAAAAGCTACGTTAGATGTTGCTTTTGTTCCCCTGAAGGAGCTTGCAGATTTGCCTCAAAATAAGAGCTCTCTCGAAAATATAGTTTGCGAACTGAGGTGTAAGTCTGTCTACTTGGGTACTGGCTGTGGTAAAAGTATGGAAAATGCCAAAGCAGTTGCTTCAAGAGAAGCTTTGAAATTATTCCTCAAGAAGAAGGTTATTGTGAAGATATGTAAAAGAAAATACAAAGGTAGTGAAATTGAAGATTTGGTACTTCTGGATGAAGAATCAAAACCTTCAAATTTACCTCCAGCTTTAAGAAATCCTCGTGAGATCTTGTAGGGAAGAATCGCTGTTTGTACCATGTATAGTATTTCAACACAAGGACTGAAGGTTAATTTTGTACTTTAAAAATGTAGGCTTCCAGATATTTTGTATTTCTTTCTCAGTTTTGCAAGACAATGATAGTTCTTTCACTTGGTAGCAATTGTATAAAACTTGTTAGAGATGACAAGTGTGCATTTAAAGGTATGCCTTAATATATAGCACACTAGTGTGCTGTTTTATTTGCAAAATAGTCTACCTAATTCTTCTATTTTTCATTAAACTGTTAAGGTACAATTTGCTGTTTAAAACCTGACAATTTTGTAATTCTTACAATTTGATGGCAGTATGCTCAATTGTCTACCATGTCTTTTTTAGGCACATATAGAAGTATGTATATAGGGACCATAATACTTGAATGATTGAAAGTTGTTTAAAAATTTCAATCAAAAAGTTGAATCATCTGCTTGAGGCTTGTTGGTCATAACGTTCACTGTTGCTCATACTAGGAGAGAAAATGGTTGACTATTTTTATGGGATGGTTTCGTAATGCTCACAACGTAAATGACAGTCTGAACCCATTTAACATTATACTAGCAGGTTTGATCCCATTTAATGTTATACTGGCAAATTACCAATTGGCAGTCAAGTCACAGACGGCTATTTCAGCCACCAAAACTCTGTAAGCAGATCTAATTTATATTGTGAAATATCATTTACAGTGGGTTTTTTTCCAAATAAACATGGATTTCGATACTAAGCATATTTTGACTGCTACTAAAAACAAAACCTCTGGCATATGCTTTTATAGTACTTTGGTTTCGGCTATTAAATACTCCAGACATTTCAATAACTTTGTAGCACCTTAAGAAAAGCTTTACTTTGAGTGGCTTCAAGGTGTAATCCCACAGGGATGAGTTGTTTTCTTTAGACACATAGCTGAAATACTGTAAAACTGATAGAGTGGACCTATAGAATATCTATTTCTACTTTTGTAACACCAAGATAAGCAAAACGAAGATGCTGCTGTCTGCTAGAGATGGCAAGTGTATTGCAAAGCATTCACACTAGTTAAACCCTTCATTTGCTATACTTTTACACCATGGACAGAATGGTTTGAAGCAAAGAGAGTGAGAGAATAACTTATTTTAAATGTTACTGAAATACCTGCACAAACTGCATGTTTTGATATATTGGGTAATGACATGTAATTGTAAAAACATAATGTCTTCAGTGCTATTTTGAATTAATCTTGTCCGATTACAGTAGTTAGCATCATTTAATGGCGACCTTACACTTGACTGACAGATCCATTGATTGAGTACTGCAGGAGTGAATAGCAGTTCCTGGGATCTCAGTAGTATATATGTCCACTTAAAGACTTCCAAGTTCTTTTGTGATTTTGGGACTTAACCACGATGGTGTTGTTACACTGTACCCTACGTGATTTTGAACAGCGGTGGCTGTCCAGTCCGTAGTACCTGAAGCCTGCAAGGCGCTCGCTCTTCCCGGTGGCCGGCTGAGAACTTCTTCCATCTGACCCCTGTGCTTGTGCCCTCAGCCACCCTTCGCTCTAGTTAGGTTCTCAGGAGTTCCCCTGCGGTGTTTCTGGAGCACCACCCGACGTGCAGAACGCGATGCATTAAATTTTGTCTCATGCTGCATGAGAATTGATGAGTGCTTCCAGCACAGAGCAGGTTTCCTGCTGTATTTAGGAGTTGTGGTATTTGTGCCAGGAAGCACGAGATCGGTTTTCAAATCCTCACCCTGTTGTGGTGGAGGCACGGGGTGACTGTTTGTGTGGGGCAGGAATTGTGTCCTGTGCCATCTGAAATACAGCCTTTCTAGCTGTCATCTTGGGCACTTCTAGATCTCTGGTTGAGAATTGCAGCACGTGTGGCAATGTGAAAACCTGTGTTTCCCGTCTGCAAAGTGAAGTTCACAGGATTTACTGACCTCAGGGGGGTGTTAGGGTAACTGTGTTAAAAGGCTGAGGTGCTAGATGCCTTTTTATAAAGTCCTGATTTAAGCTTACTTTTTAAAAATTTTTTGAATGTTTGATGTTTGGTTGTGATTCATTAAAGGATAAGTCTGTAGCTACTCTTACTAGAAACTGAATGTTGAAGTGTGTTATTTTTCTTTCCCATTCTGCATGGAAAGCAGCTCAACAAACAGATTCTAACATACAAGTAAATCAGCGTTAAGTATTTAAATGAAAATTTATTAACATTTTGTTAACCATGGAGGAAGAAAGAAAGATTTTCAAAGAACTGGCAAGAAGTGTCTGCAATCCTGTCGGTTCTAAACCCTCTAGATTTCCCTTCCAGGTACTGTCCTCGTCTCTAGCAGTTGGGACGCAGGTCTGTCAGGCCTTGCTGACGACCAGCTAGACCCAAGGTGCTAACACCGTAGGTATGCAGAGCTGTCTCATGGGGACAGATGAAACCAACCCACCGAAAGGGAAACGGACCCTGTTTTTCCTGCGAGAGGGCAGGAAATTGCAGTCTTCAGACCGACCCCTGTTTCCTCTGAGGGCTGCTAGAACAGCGTTCGGTACGTCCTGTCGGTTCCGTACAGACAGCTGCCCAGCCGGTTGCTGTTCGCAGGTCACAGAGCACCTACACACTCGGGGGGTTATGGGCAAAAAGCCCCTTTTTTCCCCCGCG